TAATAATATTTTGCCTTCTAAGTCAAACTGACTTAGAAAACAAAAGTCAAAGTTGGAGCCTAAAGGAAAGATATTGCAGGGGGGAAAAAATCAGTTTGTTTTTCACCCTGGAGATGATTTTGTACAAGATGAAGACAGATAAGTGGCTGAAAGCTAAGCTGCAGTGTTTTGGGRATAATCRGAAAAGAAAAAGAAAAAACACGGTYACCTGTAAGCCATWAGGAGAAGTAGTAAAATAACAATCCAGTATTATGCAATTTTTAGTAAAAGCTCTAAAGTAGCACAGCACAAAGCCAAATTGCAGACATTAGTGTTGCAAAGAACATTTTGTTCATATTTCATCTGTACAGAGCAAAGGCTGAATGTAAAGTTAAACAAAAAAAAAAAAAACAGGAACATCCAGACTTTAGCTCTCTGAAGGCAGGAAAGCCTGGTCCTGAGAGGCAGCAGAGTTCAGGTTGAGCAGAGCAGCAGACAAGATCTTAAAAGGAAGGTGTGGCTGTTCGAATGGTTTGATTAACAGTCGCAAATTCCCTTTAAACCCAGTCTGCTGGGGGTCAAAGCACCGCTGCTGTGGGGGGTGGGAGGGGCTACCTGCCCAACGACAAGCCTTAAATCTGAACACATACTGCAGGAAGAAAAGGCAAAAAAAACATGCTATTTGTTCTTCAAAAGGTGACATAATTTATGCACCCTTGTTAAAATTCACGTGAGAGTGAGAAGAAAGACTTGGAGAAAGGTTGAGAGACAAGAAAACAAACATAAATCCTCAAATCTAGCACTTCAACTTGGCGTATTAATTCTCAAAGTGAAACAGATCACTGATTAAAAACAAAAAAACTCCTGAAACACGAACATCCCTACACACTTACATTCACAATAGCCTCCTTGGTCTGAGCCATGTCTGAGATGACTCCGTCAGTGATGATGAGGAGGACGAAGTACTGAGATCCATCCTGAACTGCTTCTGCATACCTGAGAGAAACAAACAACCAATCAGCAGAGAGCAGCTGCAGTCGCTGGAAACCGCTAAAAAAAGCCTCCAACTTTGTGGCACTATAAAACTTTTAGGTTGGCATTAAACAACCAGAAAAAAGTGTGTCAAAGATCATTAAAAAACATGATTCTCTTCCGAGTGAGTGACAGAAAAGCGTAATATAAACATGTAAAAAAATAAAACTCAAATGTGCTCTATAGCTCTTTAAATCTCAAAGGTCTATCCAGACGTTATTACAAAACCCATCAGAGACACCACAGAGAGCGTGTCCTAGTTTCAATTGCCCATCGCTGGCTGCTCTATGAATAATTTATTAAACTATTTATGCAAGTGCAGCAGTCTTATTCTTTCAGAACATTATTGATTGCCTGGCACTCATTTGACTGGATTTGATGAGCCAGAGGARAGCAGAAAGAACAAACAAAATAAAAAAACACAAGTAGGTTATTGCCAGAGCCAAGGACGGGTCAGAGGTCAGACCTCAGCTCTGGCCAACAGTTTGATAAATTTGACTGTGAGATGCTGACATTTTAATCAAAGGGTCTGCGAGTCAGTGACAGCAGCAAGAGCGATGAGCGGTGTTCAGAGATTAAAGAGACATTTGTCCTCCTCAGCTTCTTTATTTAGCAGAGACATTCAGGAATATTACCTGAACTGAGTGTAACAGATTCCTTCACATACATTAAGAACATTCACCATTTATCATCTTACTGCAGTTTTAAAAACAGCCTGTGTTGTGCATAAAACACCATTCCAACATCATCAGCTGCTTTAGTACATTCTTGTAAACAGAGTTAAATTTTAAAAAATAACCACATAAATAAGGAATTACAGCTCTTATGTAACGTTTGAGTCTGGTCACAGTGTTATTGTAATCCTTTCACAACTGCTTTCAGGACGGCCTTCTCAACTTGCTCTGAGTATTTTAGTGCCCCTTAAGATTCGTAACACATTTGTGAAAACAATGGGGTTTCATTCCAATTGTAGTTATAACAAACTGTTGGTAAAGTAAAAAGTGTGACTTCATAAATACGTTCAATTGCTTCAAACTTAACACTGTTCAGAACTATAATGTGATGTTTTATTACAAGTGAAATCCTTCTGAGACTCTTTTATGTTTGTATTTTTATGCTTGAAATATACTAACTGGGCCTTCAGGGGAGTTGTTGTTGCAGGGTTTGGGGTGGACGATACATTCAATTTACTTGTACCGACAATTGTGCTTTTAGGTTTCTCAGCACCCCAGCCTTTATAGGCAAGAGTCTATGTGGTTTTCTACACTATAATTGGACATTTGTGGATATATTTGCTTTTCTAACTTTGCATCTCAGTTGGAAGAAGAACTCTTTCAAACTAATAACAATGCAAAAAACTTCCAAATCTAAACCAAACTGGTAAACTTGCATGGACACATAACTTAGATCAGACTTGTAATTTTGTAAATCTGCAGTATTGTTTCATATTTGTTATTAGCAACCAGATTGGCAAATTTCTGCTGAGTTGAATTCTTAAAATGACAAAGGTAATCCAAAAGTAATTGGTAAATAAGTTGATAAAAATAGGCGTAAAGATAAATGATAAAAATGAAATAGTTTCTTACAAAGTGGAAATCACATTTTGATTCAATTTTTAATGTATAACTTTATTGCATAGACAAAAATAATATACACTTGGACCCTAAATTTAACCAAGTAAATTCATTATTTTTACACTGATTTGGACTTTTATTTGTTTGCAAACATAAACCTATTTTTTATATTAATCAATTAACAAATACATGTAAGTAGATGGGACCTAACCCTCTTTCTGCAATGAAACAAAAGATATGTAAACATGAGAATCACAAAATAGTGTGGAAATGTAAACATGTATTGTTGTGCGTTTTTCAGGCCACTGCCTTTTCAAAGTGCAGAAGTGCAACCACTGATTGAAAAACTTAATCTGGACCCTGCAATCTTGGATAATTTAGACGGATTGCTAAATTGCCTTTTATCTCAAAGGTTCTTGAGAAACTGATGTACAGTCAACTGATGGACTTCCTGGAACTAAACAACATTCCTGAGGTTTTTCAGTCTGGATTTAAAACTTTACACAGCACCAAGTCTGCTCTTTTAAGAATTTTTAATGATGCGTGTTTAAGTATTGATTGTGGTAATTTAGTTATTCTTGTGCTTTTAGACTCATGGGCTGCATTTGATACATTTTATTTTTTATTTCCCATGGTGGTTTAGGTCTTATCTTACTGCTTGTACATTCTGTGTTAACCTCTGTGGCTTCAGATCTTCTTCTGACCCCCATTTGTGTGGAGTTTCTCAGGGATCAATCTTGGGTCCTCTTTCTTTATACCAACTTCCACTTGGTTCCATCTTCAGGAAGCATGGTACAGTACACATCTCTACTGTTATGCAGATGATACACAGATTTATCTACCTTTTAGTAGAAAGGATGACCAGTCAGTCAGAAACTTGCATGACTGCCTTGATGAAGTTCAGGCCTGGATGTTGATGAATTTTTAAAGTTTTAATGAAAAAACAAACAAACGAACAAACAAAAAATGAGGTGTTGGTTTTTGGTAATGCCTCTGTTTCTACCTCTATAAATCTTTGCTCATGTTTGTAAGCTAATTGCCACTAACTTAGGGATCAAAGCTGATGCTAGCCTTAAACTTGACTGTCAGAGAAAGGCAGTGGTGAAATCTAGTTTCTTTCATCTGAGGCAGCTGTCTAAATTAGACCAGTTTTTCTACAGCACCAGTTTGAAACAGTGATCCTTGCTTTTATTACAACTTGACCTTTCAGAGCTTTTACATCCATGCACACCTTACAGATCTCTCAGATCTGCTGATCAGCTTCATGTACCTAAAACCAGGTTTAAGCTCAGATGGGATCAGGCTTTTGCAATGTTTTTATGGAACAACTTGCCTTTGTACATTGGAGAGACTTCATTGCTTTTAAATCTTCACTTAAAACCCACTATTATTCTCTGGCTTTTCCTACAGCTTAGGATGTTAATTGTTATGGTTTTTATCAATTTAAATTTAATTTGTTTTTATTCCTTTTATCTTTTACTGCTGAGTGTTTGTTTTTACTGTATTTTATTGTTCAGCACTTTGTTCCTTTGGAGGAATTTTTAAGGGCTTTAAAAATAAATTAGACTAGATTGGATTTTTAGTGAACATACTAAATATTGTCAGCAGCTGAAAACATGACAAATGGTTTTGGGTTATATATCTGTCAGCAATATTACAGTTGTTTCAACCCCAGCATGAGGACTTTCACATTTTTAAACAGTCTTTAAATGTATTTTCTGCTCTGCAAGACCTTGACATTTGTCCTGAACAGTGAATTTAAGTGTTTTCCACGTACAAAAAGCTCTAATATTGAACAGTGTGACTCATCAACACTTTGTGAACGGCAACATGACATGAAATCAGTTCCCCTGCAGTTTACGCCACCTTACCTTCACACTTTCATCACTTTAGAAGTCTAAAAATAACATGGTTAGCACTCAAACGTCTGGCCCCATACGCCTGATTACCATTTTTTTCATCTCAGCCTGGCAGCTGACTGTTTGTTTTCCCATCATTAGTTCTGCTCAATTCCGAGAGAAACTGCCACTTTCTGACTTAATACCTCTGATAGTGTGGAAACAGACTGTACTAAGATTTATGGGCTGGGGTAGAGATTTGTGTTCATACTTTGCCACATGATTAAYGATGGGAGCGAAGTTGGTGGGTCCGTACAGCTGAACCGTCTTAAGGCTTTGGTGGTAAGCTTCAAGAATCCCCTCGATACCATTACAGTACGGGTTCTCAACGTTGCCATTCTGAAAGAAACAAAACAAGGGCATCACGGTAGCAAAAACATATAAATTACAGGAACTGACTAAAAAAGTATCTTTTGTTAAAAATAATTGATAATTCATTAACTTGATACTAAAATTAACAGTTTCAAGTTAAAGTAACTTGAAGTAACATTTTGTCTAAAAACAAGTCAAACTTTTAGCAGAAACATGTTTTAGACATTAGGAGCTCATTTGTGTAGACTGTAGAGGACRTCATGCTTTTAAAGTTATGGACCTTCTCTGCTAATATTAACATGAATGAGATTATTAGATTGGGCCAAGACAATATAAAACCMTGCAGAGTCATTAATATTGTGGAGCAGACCAAAAATACCCTGTTTAACTTCACATTTTGTCTGCTTGATTTATTCAAGTTCGTAACTGTTGAGGTTTAATATTAACTAAAGTAGTATTCTTTCATACAGGGGTGTCACTTTTAAGATGTTTCATAAGCCCAAACAACAATAAAAACAACATCCCTTATTCGATTAGCTTTTAGCTTAGCCTGTAGGAAGACTTCTGCCCTTCTCTCAATACTGTGTTCTATGAATGATGTCACGCTACCAAGGTACTCACTACTACTTCACACATCATCACTTCTAAAATGACAATTTTATCCCTTTAAATCTTCACGCTTCTGAGACAAGCTGGATTTGGAGAATTTCAGCCAATCTTTCAGCAGATCCTTTTATGTTCTCTCTAACAGTTTCTTCAGATTAGAGGTCGTGAGGCTCAATAAAAGTTCAACTCAACCTCTGAAGGAGACTCAGACTTCTTCCTGTCTGATCTGATTTGGTTTTAGTTTTGTGAAAGAATCACTGTCCTGTTGGAATGTAAATTTTCCGTATAGTCTTTGGTCCTGAGAGATCTGGAGCACTTAAAGATTGATCTTGTTATTTTACTGATTGGCTGAATAGTAACACAATTTCTTGTATCTTTTTTGCTTCACTCATCTGCTCCTTAAACAAAATGAGGAGAAAACTGAAAAGAGACTGAATGTGACTGTTTAAATAACATATAATCTATAACACAAAAAGACAGGAGTTGTAAAAAGACACTTTCTTCACTACTAATACATTATTCAACACTGTTCCTCTGTCAATAATAGTCCAAAGCCTAAAAAATTGTGGGTTTTTTTTTACTTGTGATAATGCTCACTGAGAACAATGAACTACTTCTGAAATATGAAGCTAAAATAGTCTTGTCTCTTCAACAAACAAGATTAGACTTCAGCTTTTCAATTTTAGTTTAGCTAATATTCTATTACATAAAACTGATGCAGCAGTTTGCTCTTTTTTCCCCTCAAATCACCCAGATTCCTCTTTTCAACTGGATCTGGCGCAGACTTCAGGGCTGAGTGACATTCTGAGGAGAAGGAAAAAAGCCCCCCGGAGACGTGCTTGTCAAACTTTGCTTCAAATGCTGTCTTCCCTGACCAGAAGGCAAGTTTTAAACCAAGACCGTAGAACAAATATTGCACCAAAGATTGTAACTTTACACTGGAGCTCGCTTACATGATTTCACCATGAAAAAGTTCAATTATATGGTGAGATGAATCTTAATTTCCTAGTTTTAATAGAAGCATGGAGTGATGCAGATGTTACCCTGTAGACACACTCCTCATTAGGCTGTACTACGCAGCAGCCAGAGTACATTAGCTGGCTGAGGGGAGCTAAATTGATTTAAGAATCCTTTGGCCCTACAGAACCTAATTTGCACTATAAAGGGTAAATGGAATTCTGTCTGAATTATGCATGTAAGACGTGTGGTTGCATTTATGCCCAAAATGCATAATCCATATTGCTCAGATAAACATTTTTACCCAAAAATTTGATCTCAGCTTTAGTGTTTGGACCCAAAGAATCTCAGCACCAGTTCACAATGAGTTCGGGGGGACAAAAACAAACAAACAAAAAAAGAGGCTTAGTTTTCCGCTCAATGTCTAAAATAATCTGATAGTTTACTCACCAGTGGGAACTCATGGGATACCCTCCAATCAGGCGGTAGCTTAGCACCAAATCCCAGGGCAGGAAACATCTTATCGCTGTCGTAGTCCTGGATGATCTCCCCAACAGCCTTCAGAGCCATGGCATAGGCATTCATCTGATAAGGGTTCATGTAGTGCAGCGAAGTGGACTGCGATGGATTTCCTTTGGAGACAGGAAAAGTTAGAGTCAGTGATGCAAACCAGCAGGCTGGGAGCGAACTGACAGCTGCAAAAGGAGAAACAGAAYGAACCAAAACTAAACAGGATGCTTTGAATCAGAGATGGAGCTGAAAAGAAAAGAAACGCACCTGCAGCATTTTAAACATTGGGATTCTGCAAGTGACTGAGGAGTGGGAAGGACAGTTTTTATGGTTTTCTTTTTTCTAGTAAAAGAACTGATCTGTGAGCCAGATTGTCACAGAAAATACTTTTAAAAAACTGAACTTGTTAACTTTTAAACATAAGAAAGGAGCTTATATCAAGTCCATATTTCATCAGGAAATGGTGATTTGTAAAGTTAGAAATTAGGGATTGTTTTTTTAGTTTGCATGAGACAAAAAAAAACACGATTTTACATTAAAAATTCTGTTCAGAAATACTTGAGCTCTGTGTCCAAAATCAAAAGCATCAGACCACGTTAAACATGCAAACACTTCAACAGAAAAAAAAACACAACAGAACAATAAAACGAGGTGAGATCAGAAGCAGAAAGGAAACTCATGACATAGTCAAACATCTGATGATAAATGAAAGCACAGCGGGGTTTGGCACTCACCGTTTGATGCTGTGAAATCAATGGCCACTGTGAAGTGAATCTGAGTCCTGGAACACATGAACAAGGAAAATGTTAACAAAAGGGAGGCAGAAAAACTCAAATCTGTAGTTTAATGAGGCTCTCCCAGGTTTCCTATGTGCTGCACTTTTTATCTGAGAAGAGGTGTGACAAACGTACGCCCAAACTCCATGTTTTTTTAATCCACCTTTATTATCTACTTTCACAGCTGCTTGTTCACCGCCATGCTCAATTATGCAAAACAGGTTCTCGTCAAGCTTTTAATAAAGTTAAATTTCATCCAAAGGATTTTTTTATACTTTAAAGTGCTGTCTTATTCAAAATCCTACATAATGACTGCTGTTGGAAACATTTCTGCACACAAATGCAGCTCTGAAACAGATACAAACTAGCAGCAYGAAGAAAAACACAAGCAGATGGAAGAAGCTCAGCAGATCAGTGTCGTCCCTTTTCTTTTGGGTGATTAAGAGTTTAAGACTAATTACTCAGTTTGTTTATGGGAGTATTTYACCTTTAAATACTTAACGGCAGACTGGAAAGTTAAAGATTTAACCAACAAAGTCTGATGAGCAGAGTGGATACACCTGAGCTTAATGACAATCAAGAACAGGTGTGAGTGGGTGGGACAGGAGCTGACAAGCAGAAACTGAGTAAAAATAATGATGACACAGGAAAAAGCACAAAGGAACAGAACTAAACTTTAAGATCATGTAGCACAAAAAATAACCAAAATAAAATTACTCAAAAAACCCAAAGTACTATCAGAAAATATCTAAAGATTTTAATATCCACTGAGTAGAACCAGATCATTTAACAATTTCACCAATTGTTTTCATAAATGCATAATAACTGCTGCAGCAAGCGTATTTATGTCACACTGAGTGAACTAAATTTTAAAGTTTCAGGTTACAAACATTAAAATAATCCTTTTTTTAAAATCTGTTTTGATAAACTACCTCACATGTTAAAAATCTATAGTTGTCATCAGCCTGTAACCATTATAGAAACCAGCTCTTTGTCCAACCTGGTTGTTTTTGTATAATGAATAATAAGTTCTGGTGTCCCACTCACTCCATTAAAGCTGAAATAAAACCCTAGTTTCTAAAAACTATGCAACATTTTCTCTTCACAGGTATAATAATCACCAAAACCTTGAAAAGAAACTAAACACAACCTGTTTCCCCAGAGAGACAAATAAAGAATAAAGGGAAGGGGCACTTAGAACAAAGTGTGTGCCCTTTCGTTGTGATTAACACTGATTGCCTCTTCCTGATTCCAACTCCATTCAGATATTCACACCAGCGCAGCGTCTGAGATAATGGCGGCTTCCTGCTGCAGAGACTGACCTCAGCTCATTAATCAGCATTGAGCTGAAACGCTCAGTCGACAAAGGGGAATTGTTACGTTTGCATGCTGCCTCAATTTAAAAGTCTCTGCTGATTTCTGTTGCTTGTTTTAAATGTTTGGCAAAAAAAAGCATGGAGGAGAGATGGTGTTAGCACGTTGATGAGAACATCGAAAGACCCAGAGGACACAGATGATCATTTTAAATGGAACCTCGGAGATTAATTACTAAATTCTCCTGTTCTGTTAAAGCTTYAGTAAAGCAGATTAAAAAACTTGCTTAAGATGTTTTCTCATTTTAGACACTCCATATTACATGTGACCAATCTAACTTTATTAATAAGAAGTTATGCATCATGGGTTTTTAAAGCAGCTATAAATAAAGTTTTCATCAAAAAATCCCATTCTTAATTCAGTATTGACCTTTTTGTCTGATGACCCCTTTATTTTTAAAGTGCTTAAAATGTTCTGAGATGAGGAATTTTATTTTTTTATTTTTTAAGTGTTGGGAGGAATAGCACAGAATGAATGATTTCCTCATGCCTCAGATGTTTCTGTGCCTAAACTTGTCCTGTTAGATGCCTTATCACTGCATTATTTACAATTATTACAGCATTTTATCAAAGTGACTGGAGGATAAAGTAAAGAAATAACGCTAGACCCATTTAAATTATGTCCTAGATCCTTGTCATATTTCTCTGAGATTACAGTTTGTTCTGTAGAGCTGAAGACTCATTGGGCCTCATGCAAGAACATGTTCGTATTCTTGTCCTAAATTTCTCTTACTTTTGTTCGTACAAAGGGTTCGTAC